CCTACTGGCTGTACTTCCGGTGCAAATTGCGCCTGTCTTACGACGTGTGGAGTGCGAACGCTCTTTTTTTGCTCGGCCCACGCTTCTGATCTTTTGTGAAAGACGAGCGCTTCCTTCTTTGTTCGACTCACGTCTTCGATTCTTTGTGGGAGGCGAGAGCTTGGCCTTTTGTTTGCTTCACGTCTAGGATGGCGTGCTGAGGGTCCGTGTCTTACTGCCTCCGCTTCGTTACAGTCAATCGTTACTGACCGTTGCAATATGTCATAATTGGCGTCGAAAGTCCACGGTTAAGCGATGCGAAAGAGTCCTTGCGTAGCTCTCGGTTCTATCTCCGATTCTGTGAATGTTGCGTTGGAACGTGTGCTAGGTGCATTAGATATTCAAATGATACTGCCATTCTTTCTGCCGTGCGTGACCGTCTCAATGAGAACACTGTAGCAAGTGTACAAGTGGTCATCTCATGGTCGACCTACGCGAAACTAATCGTAAATGCTGAAAAGTAGGTCGACATCACGTTTCATTCAACTGGGAAGAGATCTATACCGCAGGAACTGGTGAACAATTAACAAGTCATCGGTGAATTTTATGGCCAGACTCGAAGTGAAGTGTCTTAGCGTAAGAGTCGATGAATACTTTTCATAGCATTCACAAGTCTCATCTATAGTTAACAGATTCACAACGGTTCTTTCGATTCTCAGAATGAACGAATGAAACGACTTGGAGTGCGGCAAGAGATGCTGCAATTTTGCAGACAACGGCTGCATCATGTTTTGCTTTTCTACACATCTCCGGCCTATTAAGATGGCCTAGAAACCCTCACTATGGATGTATCAAGCTCCTTTCAAAGTTGCTAGCCAACCTTTGCGGATCTGACCTGCAGGTCCTTATAAAGTACTTTGCCAATTTAATCCTGGCAAGTGCCATGAAGCGTGGTGACAACATTCTCGCCGAAGGCGAACATATTCTGCACAACGACATAGCGACTTGCATGTCGAACCATCAGGAAAAACGTAGCAAACTTACGATCTTCCGGTGTGGGACTGAAGATTTCAGGCAGTTCCCAGTTTTCTTGATTATTCGCTGCAAAACCCACCTGAATAGAGAAATTTGCCTCCTCGATAGGAGCATTTGTGTCGCTTTATGAAACGGAAAAGTCTGAAACCGTAATCTCAGGAATCGTCCGTGTGATCGCTTTAGTTAGTTTGTCGGTTGGTCGTAGGTGAAACTTATGTGTTTATTAGCACATTCAAGCAAATTCCCTACTACCGACATCAATTGTGACTGTAGAGCAGAGTAATCTGCTGCAAGGTCCCGTGCAAAGACAAATCTGTTATTATCCACTTTGTGTCTGACAGCAGGTAGTCGATTTTGCTAACGGTCATTCCATTAGTGCTCATCCACATTTACTGACGCGTCTCAACGACTTCAGCCATACTGTTGATAATATTGAAACGACTACTTTCGGCAAACGCCATGAGACGTGAACCGCGTTTGTTTCTCGCTCCAATTCTAAACTGACTGGACAAATGTTCCGTTTCAGCTGTTTCTTTTTCTGCTATGATATAAAATTCTTTTTGATGATTGTTTACATAGACATATTTTACATTGTACCTTTCAGTTATTCGCATAACTGCGCCACTATTCTATCGTTCTTTGCTGTGTTGAACGATAAACTTCGATTATCTTTGGTAATCTTCTCTTGTCTAACCTCACAGTTAGCACGGCGACACGAAATGACATAAGCGGTATAACTCCTTCTTTGTGCTGAATCTTACATCGTCTGTCTGAGCCCGATATTCGCACACTTTCTCGAGGAACTTCTGACCACGTTAAATTGTGTGATAAATTCGGCGGATCTTCGAGTTTCTGACACTTTGAAAACATCCGCCTTGGTCTTCTTCGCTTCGGTGATGTGGGTGTCGGCGAACGCTTCTGACTAAGGAGTTCTGGTATTGTGACTTGCTACAAAGATCTCGATGCTATCATTTTGCCATATGCCAGACGTGTCCTGATCATCACCAAGTCTTAACTCTTCCCAGCTATTGCCAAGTCTATGCGGTAGCCTGCATTTACAGCCACAGTATTATTTCTTGCGTGATATATTTTTTGGCGAGTTTTATTAGCAGATCATTCGGGGTCCCAACCTTTGCCAGTTGCAATCTTCGTCCTCCACCACATTCAGCAGTCCATCGAGATTAAGAAATTAGGCGTTTTGTGACTTCTTTGTTGAGGAAGGATTCACTGATTAGTGTCTGACCTCATTATCTCACCTCACAGAAGAGGATACTCTGCAGTATATTCAGCCGGCTCGCCTTTCAGAGATACCCATCCGATAGTTGACTATCGGCACTATGACACAAGGTGTAAACGTAAATTTAAAAGAAAAACAGAATTTATCTATTTATATAAACTTAACGTCTGTAAATTTCGATCAAAACAAATGCCGAGATGGCCATGAAAACTCATTTCAGTACGGATATACAGGTGCTTTAAAACTAGTTTCAGCGACGTTCTAAATCTTTAGATCTACCTGCCTGAACTTATTCAGTGCAATAGTTCTTATCGTGCTTGTGTTTATGTCTTTGAAGTGCTGCAGTAGTTTTAATAGTGATTCATGTGTTTTGTTGGTCTCGATTTAAGGTTCATTAGTATGAAGATTTTTATCATTTGTATATTGATTTTTTTGTCACTTTTGAGTACACTGTTTTTCTTTATTCTGTGACGCCTAGAGTGTTTTCAGTAAATTTTATTGCTTCTGTTATGCTAAAAAATAATTTTGTGATAATCCCACTCAAGCAAGAAATTTTCATCCAAAAACTTAATTTGACAATAGGTGCTAATTGGTAAAATATATAAGCTGTTATATTTGTACTTAAGCATCGCATCGTACACTCATCGATGACTGATGAGCGGTTTTCCTGAACCTTTGAAATGTGAATTAGCATGTACTTGTGAACAAACAATGACAGATTCTTTGATAGCCTAGTTTTCTTTCGACATGCTGTTTAGGTTTTACCTATTTACTTTAGGCAAACGTTCATTTTCTTTGAATCCTGGTCTACGCTAATGTGGTAATCGTGTCTGAACTTCAAATTAAAGTCAGTTCATGCCGAACCATCTGTAATCTACCTTATGTTCTTGCTAACTAACCATTTTTTAGATATTTTTAAGCTGCGCCTAAAAAGGACCTTAACTCAGCTCTTAAGTCGAATTTCTAGTAATGCTGTTTTCTAGTTTGAAGGCCAAAAACTTTGCGTGTATTTCGCAAATCATGCGGGAAATTCCTGTAGCCAAGGAGGTTTCAGTTGTGGTAAGGAGCAAACTAATATTATACCGTTTGCATTATGAAACGTAGGGTTGGGTTCGTCATGTGCGTGATTATAAAGACGTTAGTTTCTGCTCACTTACCGATGGCCTCAGTGAACATCTTCTTGAGATTGTGGTTCCTCAGAAGTTGAAGCATGTGTAAGGCTTATTTTTTGTTCTGTTACGTTAACGTAGTTCTTCATTTAGCGACTTGCACACTGGCTGCGCAGTAAAAGTTTCAGGTATATTTAATTCAAAAACCTCCTGTCAGAACGCCTTTCACGTAGACGCAGAAAAAATCGAAGTGGTGGCATCCTGCGATTTAAAGGTCGACATTTGTTGTTTATTTGTTCTGTTTAATCTGTCTCTTTCGCAGGATTATCCTTTCGCAATGAAGAAGCGTCACCCTCCCGAATATCTGCGTCTGACGCCTCATTTGCGACCGAGAACTACAAGTTTTGCTGCATTTCTGCGAGTTAGGAGCAAGACCAAGTTCTTGCTGCAAAATTACTTGCAGGTAACTATTTTCACATACTGTGCATATATAAATATGTTAAATTAAAAAATTTGTTGGACCAAAGTAGATAGGGATAAAAGTCGTAGAACATAGAATCTCGTGGCAGACGTTTGGCAAAGTCTTGAGCATCGAAAATAATTTAAGGTTGACCATGATATATAGCGATTCGTTTGCGTACTTTCACGTTTTACCAGCCGTCGCCAGTGAATGCTGCCATGAGATACTTAAACATGTCTACCTGCACCGTGGTATGCTCAGTTGCCTCTCTCCCGAGCAGAAAAATCTCGGTTTTATTCAGGCTGATGATACTGTAGGCATAAGCGTTCTGAGGTTGTCTGAGGATTAGTATAGGTGCCAAAAGAACATCAGTAATTTTTCTCCCTCTCTTCAAATAAACTGCATCTAAACATCAGTAAGACCAGTGAGGCAATCTACATAATTCGCAATACCCAAAATTCTACACTTTCCAGCCCTTCAACGCACACCCTGGAGATATGCGACAAACCGTGGGATACAGGTACATCATATTAAGTACCTGGGAGTCACCCTATCGGTAGACCTCCCCTGGCATCGTTTCCATCTTCCATGGCCGCTTATCTTTTCGGGTCGCGGAGGCAGACGCATCTGACAAGCTTCCAACGTTCCCGATCCTGTGCAGATCCAGTCAGAGCTTTGGCAGAAGACAAATAGAGTCTGCAACAGACTCCTTCCATATGTTTG